ACAAATTCCCTTAGTTTCTGCTTATCTGGAAATCTCCTAATTTCACCATCATATTTGAGGGACAATTTTGCCGGGTAAATAATTCTTGGTTGAAAAATTTTTTCTTTCAGGGTTTTGTATATACCATCCCATTGTCTTCTCACTTGCATGGTACTTTTTTTTTTTTCCCCATGCTGCTCTCAGTATTCTGTCTTTGCCCTTCGTTTTGCTGAGTTTGATGATGATATGTCTCGGTGATTTTCTTTAGGGGTCTATCCTGTTTGGAGTTCGTTGGAATTCCTGAATGGGTATGTTCTCCTCTTTCATCGTATCAGGGAAGTTCTCCTCCAGCAAATCTTGTACGATTTTCTCAGTGGTTCTATTTTTCTTTTCCTGTTCTTAGAATTCCAATGACACGTAGATTACTTCTTTTGATGGTATCCCATATGGACCTTAGGCTTTCTTCATTTTGTTTTGATTTTTTTTCTGAATGATCCCTTTCCAAAGAAGTATTCAGGTATTTGTCTTCAGTCTCATTAATTCTGTCTTCCATACCATCAGTTCTACCCCTTTACCCTTCAAATGTGTGATCTATTTCTAACAATTTAGTATTAATCTTCTGGATTTCTATCTGTAGATTTAGAATCATTTCTAATTTTTCATTTGTTTCGTCATTTTATTCTTATATTTTCTTCCAAAAATTTTCTAAGTTTTTTTCTGTCTTTTCTTTGGTCGGTCTCTCAATCCTTTGAAGATACCTAAATATAATTCTTTTGAATTCCTTATCAGAGAGTTCCAATGCTGCTTCTTCCTCAGGGATGTGTTTTGGGTCTGTAACCTATTCCCTTATTTCTACCACTTTATCTTGCTTCTTTGTGTGGACTGTGATGATCTGTTGTCTTGGAGGCATCGTGGCGTTGTAGTATTTAGATCTCTGTTAACTGTTTGTGAAGAGCAGCCAAGGGTGATTCAGGCTCTTCTTGGTGTTTTTTTTTTATCGTTGGCCCGTTGGTGGAGAAGAGGTGCTGGCTGTTGTTCAGTAAGTGAAGTTGCAGGAGGTGTGGGTATACTTGTATCTTATGGGGACTGCTGTTGTATCCCACTCAGTTCAGCAAAAATTATAATAACCATCGAAAAAATTAAAAGCACATGGACAAAAAATACACCCTGCAATCACACAGGATCAGTAACCCAAAAAAAGAAAAAGTGGAGAAAAGAAGAAGAAAACAGGTAAATACTCAATATCTGGGAATAGGTCACTAAGAGAAAAAAGGTAGAGAAGGAGAATAATGAAGAAAACAAACAAAACAGGAAAGAAAAAAAAAAAAGGAAAAACCAAAAAAACACACACAAAAAACAAACCAACAAGTAAAGGGGTTAATCACAAGAGAAAAAATAAAAAAGGTGTCAACTAGGACCTTTTCAGTCGTGTAGTGCAGATCCGGAGAGTTCTTGGGGTTACTGGAAAGCAGAACCTCTTCGTAAGCCCTTGGAATCTGGTAGAGCACTGTCTCTTAGATTGTCTCTAGCTGCTGGTTATGTGTTGATTTGTTTTGTCTTGGTTTTATGGTTTAATATTTTGAAAAGGTGAAGCTGGTGTGTTTTATTTTAATACTGATTCAGGTGTGTTGGGTTGCTCTGCTGTTTTCTTTGTGATGGTGGTATCACTGTGTGTAGTGTGTATATGTGTTTCTGTTTTTCATAAAGAGGGTTTAGAGTTCGAAGAGGGAGGTTTTATGGTAATTGGCTGAACATGGTTTCTTCTACTGAATGAGTGAAGTTATTGGCGGAGAAGGTTGGAGCAAAAGAAGGAAAACTTGGTGTTGCTAGGGTCGGTTTCTAGGGCTTTGAGCAGGCTATTATTGATGATGTATTTATTTGCAAGACCATGGCTCAACCTCAGGAAAGATTCCTATTGTTAGAGGGTCACAAATTTCCACCAATTTCAGGCATAAAGACCCCGTCTCTGCGGCCCCACAGCACCAAAGAGTGGCTCCAAGGCAAAATTTCCAGGACCATGCTCAGCTGCGGTTTCTTTGCTCTCCCTGCCCCATTTGCCCGTGATGCTTATGCAATCCTGCGGTCCCGATAACTGTGGCAAAGAAAAGACAGTGTCTTCCAGTCTGACCCAAGCCTGCTCTGTGATCCGCTGGGAGGGGAGGGAGCTAGCCTTTCTGGCACAACAGTGAGATCTCCGCCTGAATCTCAGCAGTGCTGCCCGTGTTCGTCTGCACCCAGACCATACAAATTACGGACAAAATCAGCTGCTGGAGGCAGGTCTCTGCCACTGCCCGCTGGAATATTGTAGTGGTTGCTAGTAAGCTGCTATAAGGCGACTTCGTTCTTGGCTCGGGGATCTCAGGTGCACACCCTCGCCTGGCAAGACAGTGAGTGCCCCAGAAAGGTTTCCAGTGGTCTCTCTCAGGTGCCCGTCCATCCTCCGGCAGTAGCTCTTTCCTAAATAATCTTCCTGTGCCTTTCCTCTAATTCTGCTCTTCTGTGTTTGGTGTACTCTGATTCAGTGAGCTGTTCAGAGCACCAAAGTTCCTAATTCAAACTGTTGTACCAAGTTTTCAAAGTCCTTAGATGCCAGAGGGGAAAAAAAATGTGCTGCTCATTGGTGAGACTCCATTTTGAATCCTGTTTTATTTTATTTTTTTAAAGAAATGTAATTTCAATGGTTGCTGTTGTTAGGTGCTGTGGAGTCGGACTGGACTCATAGCGACCCCTCCTTGGGTTTCTGAGGCAGTATCACTATGGAAGTAGACTGTCCAACCTTCTTTCCAAGGAGTGGCTGGTGGGTTTGAACCGCCAGCCTTCTGTTAGCAGCCAAGTGCCTTAGGCACTATGCTACCAGAGCTCCCAGTATTCAAGGGTAATAATCTTTATTCATTGGGCTAACTTAGTTTAAAGGTGACTTCAGGGGATAGTTTCATTTCAAAGTTTGAAGAGCAATGCAGGGCTATAGTCTAAGGGACTCCTGCAGCCTCAATAGGTACAGGAAGTCAGGGTTCTTTAAGAATTTGAAGTTACGTTCCAAAATTTTTCTCCCTTTTGATCAGGATTTACCTATTGTGTTCCTTAAGAGAGCATTTAATAGTGATAGCCATGCATCATCTAGTTCTCAGGTCTCAAGGTAGAGGAGGCTGTTCTTTCTCTCATTCTTGTTTTTTATCTTTCTGTTGTTCCAGATGAATGAAGGCCAATAGTGGTAAAGGCCATTAGCAAGCTTTTAAGACCACACACAGACACTACTCACCTTATTAGGAGGCAGAATATAAACTTTAAGAACTACATTATGCTGAGTCACTAGATTGTCCTCTGAGACCATTATCCTAAACCCCACAAACAAAAGAACTAATCCCATAAGGTGACTGGTTATGTCTAATTAATATCAATATCTGTAGCCACACCCTCCACTTATTTGGTTCCTGATCGTTCCTTTTTCCTATATACAGCTTATTAACATTAGTTATATCAGTTACGCAATGCAAACTTCACCTACATTCAGTGCTGCCTCTGCCTTTTCTGTAAATGAAAAGTGAGTACCACCCAGGAAGTACCTCCAACACCCTTCATTAGCAACACTGTTTTTAAAACAAAGGTGTTACTAAGTCAAACCTAAATGGGAGTCAGAAGCCAAGATTAAGCAGTGGAGAATTTAAACAAGTTTTAGAAAAGAAAGTAGGGGCACAGAATGAAATCTGCCAAGTCGTGAGGCACCTGAGTTAGTGAAGGTCCTGGAAGAGGCAGCAGCTGCTCGCTGGGTGGAGTACCAGCTGGAAGTTCAGTACCTACTGGCAGCACCTACAGAGAATGAAGGGAAAGTCAATTCCATGCGATATGAATAGTACAGACTGTATACTAAAGAGCAAATAACCTAATCTGAATGCAGAATAATAATAATAAAATGTATCTAAAGTTAAGGTATGCTTGTCATCTGAGTTATACTCTCGTATCTGTCTTAAATAAAGGACATTAGAACCATTGATAGTATCATAGGGGTTACCATGACATACGTATAAGATGAAGAGTAAAATACAGCAAATGGTTATTTCATAGAGAAAATAGAACAAAGGCCTTATGTATATAAAAAGCATGTTGTTGCTGTTATGTACCATCGAGTCAGAACTGACTCATAGCGACCCCTCCTTGGGTTTCCGAGGCAGTATCACTATGGAAGTAGATTGCTCAACCTTCCTTCTGAGGAGTGGCTGGTGGGTTTGAACCAGCTTTCTGGTTAGCAGTCAAGTGCTTTAGGTACTACACTACCAGAGCTATAAAAAGTATAGTACATATATATATATTTTTTAATTCTAATTTTTATTGTGATTTGGGTGAAAGTTTACAGAGCAAATTCACTTTCCATACAGCAGCTCACATACACTGTCTCATGACAGTGACTGCAATTTCCCACAGTGCAACAGCTCCTCTCTGATGTCCTCCCCATAGTTACCTCTTCCTTGTGTCCTTCCCTCCATGCACTCCTGCCCCCTGAGCTGTCTCCCTGTGCATACACAGCCTTCTATTCTCCTACAATTGTTCTCTCCAAGGAGTGTATCTAGCTAATGTAAATGTTCAGTTCATATGCCTGTCTTTTGTTTGGCTGGAAGCCACAGGAGTGGGTTCAATTCTAGACCTGAAGGGCAGGTAGGAAAAGGCATAGGATAGTCTTGAGCCACTTGTTTGGTACAGTGTTATCAGGCTTTTGCTAACACAAAATTATTCTGTGGAAAGAAAACAAAAGTAGTTGGTTGCTTATTAAGCAAGGGGCAAGTCTGGTAACGAAGAGCACTGGAAATCTACTACTGTTCAAGCAATTTCTTTTTTTGTCTGAGTGAAGCCTCTGTATTATGCTATAATAAAAAGAATCTTTTATCAATGCCAATGCAGAAAGATAACTGGAGCATACAATATACTAAAGAAAATATGGCCTTGTTATTTGGAGAATATTAGAGAAGCTGCAGATGGCAGAATGAGAGGAAATCCATCCCAAAGGATACATTCTAGTTCATTTATTCCTAGGATTAGATTCTTTTCTCTTCCTCTATATAAATTTAATCACCAACTTCCTACTTTTTATAAACCCTAAATAGTATATTTGTAGAACCTATAGCACAACAGAAAATTTGTTTCAATCTCACTGAAACAAAGATTGTGAACTACTGACAGAAGCAATTAGCTTCCTTTTGGGTTACAGATTATATTCAATTTGCACCAATTAGGAAAAAATGCTTGTGCTTTATTGATTATTATGCATTCCTAGGAAACACTGCAGTATAATTAACCTAAAAAATTCTGCCATATTTCTCCATCAAAAAAACTCCATGTTGGAGGCGGGGCAAGATGGCGGACTAGGCAGAAGGATTGCACAGACCCTCTTCAACAAAGAAAAGGGAAACCAATTAACACAGACACAGAAGATAATCTTGGACCCCTGAGCCTTGAAGGAAAGGATGCAGATTTGGACTAAACCCCAACTAGCAGAAGAATTTGCGTGAAAATACCAAAAAAAAGGAGACCTACGGAGCTGCGGTCTGACAGCGAACTGAGTGACCCTGACAATACAGGCAGCTCGGAGATACGCGACTGGTGGTAGGACATAAGAATTAACCTAAAAATCACCCTGCCAGCCAGGGACTGCGTGGACTGTGCACCGTGGCTGGGGAACAAGCAGAGAAGCAACCCCAGGTGCACTCGGGCCCTGCAAGACTGAAAAGGTACCACATTCTTCTTGTTACAACACCCTATACCTGCTTGGTGAACGGAGGTGTGGCCATACCCACTCCTAACTACCTTCTGGGCCCACAGGAACTCTATCACAGTTGGTGTGCTGAGACGGGAGCCTGGGTGCCGTACCCAGTCATCCACCGATTTTTTTTGCTTTTTTGCTTTCTTTTTCCCGGTGATTACTTTGCTTGTATTTGTCCATTTCAAAACAAATAATATTATTAATACTTATTGTCTTTTTTATTATTATTCTAAACCTTCCCCTACCAGGGCCTGGTTTTCAGCATTTTTTCTATTCCCTGTTCCTGGCTGAAACTCTGCCCACCCCCCACAATTCAAAAAAAACTCCATGTTCAGGAGCTCTGGTGGCACAGTGCTTAAGGCATCTGACTGCTAACCAGAAGGTTGGTGGTTTAAGCCCACCAGCCACTCCATGGAGGGAAGACTGGGCAATCTAGTTCCATTAAGATTTACTACCTTGGAAACTCAATGGGGGTTGCTACTCGATGGCAGTGGGTTTGGCTGTTTAATTAAAAAAAAAAAAAAAAAGAAAAAACCTCTCCAAGTTCAAAATACATATAACATCCTAAAAACATGTAACACCCTTTATAAATATAACATCCTAATAACAACTTTATTTAATTATTACAGAGTGCCTACTACAAGCAAAGTACCTTTAAAAATGAATCTCTGATGGATCTTACCAGAGCTTTAGTTAAAGGTGGTTTAAAGGGAGCAACTCCAGGTTTCACGCCTGATGTAGTGCTGACTGGGGCTGAAATATAGCTGCCTGGGGTAGAAACTTGCCCAGGTGTGACCACTGACAAACCAGTTGTTCCTACTGGCAAACTAGTCGGTGGTAAGCAACTACTTGTAGTAGAGGTCATGAGTTTGCCTGGTGCAACAGCAGTGGTTGGGATGCCAGGCATGACAGTAGTCTCCACTACTAGTGATGTCTCCAGTGAGACAGAGGCATGCTGAGTTCCAGATGAACTGTGTTCACTAAAGAGAGACCGCAGTTTTTCCTCCAGGGTCTTTATGTCATCAATTCCAGGAGCTTTGGTTTGTGTATCAGCCTCTATTTCAAGGCAGTGAGTATGGGGCTGATTGGGAAGCAAAGCTGGCTGTGGCTGACTATGAATTAGTGTCTGCTGTACAGCAGGCACATTGACAACAGGTTGTACTAATGGTGGGACACTGGGTGCTTGGGGTAATAAAGGTGTAGAAATAGGTCCTGTTGCTTGGGGAAGGACGGGAGCAGAAGCTATAGCTGATGGGATGACCAAAGGATGTATCCCTCCAGGCTGAGTAACAGAACTAGACACTCCTGTTCCAGGGGATGAAGAGGAAGATGGTGCAGGGAGAGAAAAAGCCAATCCAGGTACACTACTATGAGATGTTTTATCCAGTGAGTGTGCACTTACCACCACTGTTTCAGCTAAAGTAGGAGCAGAGCTACTGCTGCTAAACTGAACGGACGGCTGTGGAGCTATGCTTGGAAATGGAGTGGTGGTAGAAACTGACAGTAGTGTGCTTACTCCAGTAGTACTGCCTACAGCCTGCTGAGATAATACAGTTGGAGGCTTAGCACCTGGGGCAACAGTGCTGCCTGCAGCAGAGGTTGAAGTCGTAGTAACTGCTATAGAGGGGAGAGTGCCTGTACTAGAAACAATGCTCCCACATGTGGGGGGCAGAACTGACTGGGATGTTGTACACATTGAGACAGTTGTAGGTATGGTGATACTTGAAACCACATTGGTGAGTATTGGTGGCTCAGACACAGCTGGTATAGGGAGACCACTTGAAGTTATAACCTGAGTGATTCCTTTTTCAGTGGGCGCTGTAACTTCAGACTGAATTACTGATGTGGATATGTCAGTAAGAGGGCTGCTAGTTGCAGGGACTGCTATCGATGATGTGGCGGCTCCTGTGGTTGGGACTCCAGGAATGCTACTCATGGGAGGAGATACTACTGGAAATGTTGGTCCTTTAAGACTAAAGTCTGGAGGTGCTGTACTGGGTCCTTCTGTCATTTGGGCATGTTTAAGTTCAGAAAAGGCCTTCTGCAGACTAAGGGAGGAAGCCGAGTGTGACAAGTTCATCCCAGGACCATGAGATGTAGAGGAAGCAACTATAAAGGAAAATAAAAAAACAAAAAAAACAAGAAAGAATCAGCCACTTTTAAAAGAGGATTCAAAATTCCCCTAACAACCTCTTTTTAGAATACCAACATGCCACATACCATCCAGGTTTACAGTCTCCCAAGGAATGATGGGCTTTAAAACAGTAGTTTGATCAAAATAAGTTACCTTCTATGAATATCTGTCCCTGGGTTGTGCAAACAATTAAGCACTCAGCTGCTAAATGAAAGGTTGGTGGTTTGACCCCACCCTTTAAAGACTCCTTGGAAAAAAGCCTATTGAAAGTTCTGTGGAGCACAGTTCTACTGTGACACCCATGGGCTTTCCATTAGTCAAAACTGACTCAACAGCAACTGGTTTGGTATCAATGCCTATTTCTGTAGTACCACAGAGTACTCTCAAAGCCTATCCAATTATACTAAACACTCAAACTCACTGCCATCGACTTGATTCTGATTCATAGTGGACCCCTCCTTGGGCTTCTGAGGTGGTATCTCTATGTACAATCTACGTACATAGATTGCCCAATCTTCCTTCTGAGGAGTGGCTGGTGGGTTTGAACTGCCAGCCCTCTGGTGAGCAGTCAAATGCCTTAGGCACTATACCACCAGAGCTCCTTTTATACTAAATAGAAAAACAAATACATACTACACCAGACTGTACCTAGTATGGCTGTCCTTTATTGTCTCTTTTCCTTAATCCTCTCTACTCACTGTCTATTTTCCTCCTTCATACAATTTCAATTTTCCACTCTTTATTATCTGTGTCATTAGTTGAACTACTGCTTGATGGCCAAGCGTCCAACAAACAGAGATGCTGTATGTTTTGCCAAAGCATATGGCAGAAACAATTCCTTACCCGTATCTGAGATTTCACTGGTGAAAACTTTTGATTCTCGTAATCGACTTTCGGGTACAGGACTCACTATAAACCGTCTTCCAGCAGAATGAACAACTTGAGTTAAAGAACTTGTAGCTACACCTAGCCAAAAAGATGCAAATCCACTTAATTATATTATTATTATATATCCTGTTACCAACATGAGGTAGCAGGGTTTCATTATCAGCACACAGCTTGGTAAAAGCAAATATGGAAAGAAAAGTAATTCACCTATTTGCTGTGGCATGGAAGATGCAGGAGTTGGTTGTTTGAACTCCCCTTCTAACTTCTACAACAAACAAAAATGATTAAATTAACGCTCAAATGCAATCTCAATGACTAGGCAAAGCAAATCTCTACATGCAAAGGGAATATAAATATTTGATAATCTCAGTGATAGGTATAATGTGGTCTCACTGGACATTTTGCATGAAGAATCTGGCACTGTGAAAATATTTTAAGTAAACAAAGCTTTACTTTGGGAATAGTACACCTACCTGAGACCCTGAAAAGCCATAGTCATCCTTTCCCTGTAGACTCTCCAAACCCTGGTCACCTTCTGGCTCTACACTGACATCCTCACTGAGCATTTCATCAGCTTTTTCAATAATCTCCCGCACTTGATCCACAAATGACTCTCTCTCTATTGCTAGAATAAAATCATTGTTCACCTGTAAACGAAATGTAATGTCAGTCTGATTAGTGTAATGTTTCTTAAGTTTTAATTCATTGAACTATCACTTTTGTGACTTCTGCCTTATTTATCATTTACCTATCACTTGAACTATTACATATTTGGTTTTCATTTAGCTCTTCCCTTTTTAAGAACTTCAATGCTTAGTTAGACATTTCTTACACAAAACCAGAATCAGAAGTCTGATGTGCTGGATATATTGAAATAAACATGTAACTATCAGAACATGGATTACAGATATTGTATATTTGCTTGTGATGGTAGATATGAAGATCAAGTACTTAGGCAAAATTTGGAGCTCCAAATGCAGACATACCATAATTGCTGCTATCTCCTCAGGGTTGTCACCATCTAGATCAAATTTGAATGTAACCATTTTTCGATTATGAGTCTCTAACTGACATTCTACTACTCGGTCTCCTTTATTTGAAACCTGAAGGAAAAAAAGAAAAGGTGCTTCATCTCAGTCATACTCAGCTTTGTTACCAAATCTGAGAAAGTAATGCAAATTATCACTTGAATTTAAGCCTGAAGATGCAGAATGTTATCACTGTTTCTTGGACCACTGGCACTTAGCTTCTTCAACTGCTAGCCAGAATACCTTTTGAGAAGATTATCAGACTCTCAGGTACTCATTTATCTTTCACTGAAGCAATGTAAAATGAGGGAACAATGGAATTCTTTCATTTACAAATTTAAACTTTTTTTTTTCCCCCTAAAAAGTAAATAGGACCTTACCATAGAAATACGAAATTTCAGAATATAATTTGGGTAATTAGAAGATTCTAAATTTTCACCAACACATCTGAGCCTTAAGAAATATTTAAATGACATTAACTACTGTTGGCCTTGTTATACTTTTATGAGTCATATTTTCAATCTGAAAAATGGGATATTCATTTATAAGAGCTTGTGAGGATTAAATAAGAAGTGTTATATATCACACAAAAGATTAGGTATTTTTGTTTTATGAAGTCAGAGAATTGGATGAGATGAACTTGAAAATCCTTTTCAGTGTCAAATTCCTTTACTTTTATGACGTCCATAAAGAAACAATACTTACATTCAGAATTCTCAGTTTTGGGCGTGAAGTCTTTTCATGACGAGAGCGACTTCTTACAGATTTCCGATAGTGCCGTTTTGTAGTTCGCCCTTCATGCCTTCCACTGGAAGATGGGATGTTCTCATTGCCATCACTCATACCTGAAGCAACATCTGAATGTGCACTAAAAAAAAAAGATGTTTATAATACGAGATTCAAAGGTCTGATATTTTGAAGTTTCACACCAATCTATTTATCAGTTAAGAAAGAAGAACTTTAGCTTTACAAACCTGTCTACAGAGGAGACCAATGTGGTAGGCTGGGCAGGCTGTGGCTGTGTTGTTGGGACTGGCTCTGGAGGAGCAACCTGAGAGACTCCCTGGGTACTCTGTGAATAGAAAGGATAATTCAATACTTGTTAATAATATATTTTATTTACCATTCACCATCTCTAATAAACTACTGTTTTTATTTTTCCTTATCCCTCCCTTAAGTCATAGAAGCACTAAACTGACTAGTAATTCTTAATATTCAGCATCTAGAGACAGTGGTCTTAAAATTCCCAAAGACGTTTCTAAAGCTAGCCTCTGGTACAGACTGCATGTGAGATCAGCCAACATATTTGCTAGGCAGTGTGAGACTACAATTTGCCATGCAGCCAGCATTTTACCAGAACTGTGCAATAGGGCAGGCAGAGCAAAGTGCAAAGATGATTCAGAAATTTCTCCCAGTAGGACAAAAATGATTATTGGGAGCACAGCAGGATAAGATACCCTTATGAATGCCAATGGCAAGAGCTTGTGAAACGATAAGAATAATTGCTAAATACTAGCTAGAGAAGTGAAGTGCTAACAGTGTTAATCTTCTCCAAGGCACACTCACTTCCCAACAGAACAGCCAGTGGCAACAAGGCCCCCACATTGGCATTTCATTCTGCTGTAAGAAAAAGTCATTCAGAGTTAGTTCTAAACCAGGGGAACCTATGATTCTGTCATTTTTATCCCATGATATTTATGTTTATATATAAACATGCAGTAATTCCATTTACCTCCAGAGCTGCTTGCTGGGAGGATGTAGGGGGCGCTTGTTGTGCTAAACTCACTGCTGGTTGGGGCATTTGAACCTGTCCTCCTATACTACCCACAGGAACCATACGATTTGATTCCACATAAGGCTGCACCACTGTAGGAAAGTAACCTGGTGTAGCCAATGCTTCTGTGGGCATGGGAGGGGATAGGACTGCAGAAGGGATGCAAACAGAAGCCACGCTGGAAGAGGGAGCAATATTTGAATCTCCTGGGTATTGTGGTGGCAGTCGAGATGGGAAACCCTGTGACAGAAATGAGGAAGGTGAGTTAGTGTAGGTTGGGTCATTAAATGAGCTAAACAGCAAGACATGCCCCCTTACCCCCAACGGAAGGGGGAAAAACAAAAAGAAAAAAAAAACAAAGCACATAGCAAAGAAAAACAGGAGCCCACATTCTCTCTTGCTAATTTAAAGAACATTTAAAGATCATGCTTGAAATGGAAGACTGCTTCCAATTTAGAAAACCCACTGCCATTGAGTCGACTCAGTTCCATCTCACAGCGACTCCCATAGGGTTTCCAAGGTCATAAATCCTTATGGAAACCAATTGCCTCATTTTTATCCTGAGGAGCAGCTAGTGGGTTTGAACTGTTCACCTTCTGGTTAGCAGGCAAATGTCTTACCCACTATGCCACCAGAGCTCCTTAATTAATGCTGCAGGACTGTATAATCATACTTTAAACTACTAGTTTTCTCCTCCTGGAGATACTGTAGATAGGAATAGATTTAACAATTCCTTCTAGAAAAACATATACTTTCTAGCCAATCTTAAATGGCTGAATGCAAAAATTCTTCAGGGTATCAGTCAATCTAGTCATATCATGACATGCTAATCTTCCAAATCTAAGACCAGAAGGTTTTTATTGATACTATGTTGGCTACACTCTATTTTGCCTATAAAAAAAGGTAGCCTGATAAACTGTACTATCAGCCATACTTAGCACTGTCAACTTACACTGAACACTGAGAGAAGCCATTTCTTTTCCCCAAAAGGTGTTTTGAAATAAATGGATAGGAATCAGTAGACCTCACTATCCTATCCTTTCCCAGAATTTTATTATTTTCGCTTCTCTAGTTGAAATCAGCAACTTTTGTTATTGACAGTTATTCTGATACTCAATTTAGTAGGTTTTCAAGTCTTTGATAATCTATTATTAGAGCCAAATTCTCTGGTGCCCTCCTTTTTTGCTAGCTAGCACAATACCTGGTATAGAACCTCTCCAGAGGGAAGTGGAACCTCAGCAGCTTGTCCAAGGTTAGCTGGTATTCCCATGGACTGAGCTGCTGGTTGCAGGAGCTGTGGGTGAACCTGACTTGGCAGCTGAGTCACAGGCTGCAGAAGGGGTGGAAGTTGACTAGGAACCACAGTTGATCCCCCTGGGATTGAAGCTGCTGTAGCAGATGAAGCCAAGGTGAGCAGAGGCTGATTAATGCCAGCTGCCATCGTGATGGGAAGGGATGAGAAACCTGTCTGAGCCGTAGACACATGAGGAGTTGATATGGGAATTTGAGAGACAGGGTACTGAGGGAGTAAGGAAGTAGGGAGTGGCTGTCCCATAGGAAGGAAATGAGCACCAGAGTGGGCTGGAACAACTGAGGGTTGTGTTGCAACTGGGATCTGAGGTTCGCCTTGGATAGTTGGTACTGGCTGGGAAACTGGAAGCTGGGAAGGTAAAGAAAAACAAAACAGACAGACTTTTTTTAGAAAGCAAGATGGCTAAAGCAAGGTTTATATATTAGCCAAAAAGAAGGAGGAAAAAAAATAATACCCCTGCATACATTAGTGTAAGTTAATACGCACATAAGAATAGGGAAAAGAGAGCAGGAGACAGAGAGGCTGATGGATTGGTTATTGTTCCACATCTTTTATTGTAGAGTATTTTGGTAATGCTTTATCATTCAACAATAAAAAGAGGACCATTCCATGGGCTTTTCTTTTTTTTTTTTTTACACCTTTGAGATATATTTCACGTACCATAATCCATACACATATTTGCTGTCATTAAATCTATGATTACTATTACAGTAGTTACTGAAATTTAAATTAAATGCTATCTTAGTGGAGTCAGATTTTATCCATATTGCTTCTACAATTCTTAAGTCTAACAAACACAGTCTTAAAAAAGATATAATTACCATAATCATTGATTTTAGGATGCAATCCTTGGCCCCTACCATTTTAACATCTATGAAATTGGGATGTATCTTAAAATTGATGTCATTGCAGATGCAGTGAAACATGAAAGCAATACATTGTGTCAACAAACACCACAACAAGTACCAAATACAAAACTGAAGAGAGATCATTCAGAACCTAACTCCTTCAAGGTACTTTTCAAGGGATTAAAAGAACAACAACTTAGAAAAAAATACCATTCCATATAAGGGTTTTTAATGACTTAATGTCGGTAGGCAATGAAGGAGGAAAGAATACAGAAATCTACATGAAAATACAGCATAGTTGCAAACCCAGAAAATTTCATATAAGCTGATACAATTCTAGAGGAATGTCATAAGGAAAGTTATCAAAATACCATTATTTAACTCATTAGTTCAAACGGAAAGACCCATTGTTGTTGAGTCAATTCCAACTTACAGCAACTCTATAGGGCAGGGTAGAACTGCCCCATAGGGTCTCCAAGGCTGTAAATTTTTAGGGAAACAAACTGCCTCATCTTTCTCCCAGAGTGGCTGGTGCTTTCAAACTGCTGACCTTTCAGTTAGCAGCCAAATGTTTTAACCACTGTGCCACCAGGACCCCTTTATTAGTTCTAATACCTGTCAAATCTATTTTAGACTGATAAAGCGAAATGTTAAACATTTTTGGATTGTCACTGTTGCCAGTATGTATTCATTTACATTAACCAATGCACGTGTGCAAAAGAAACAGCTTTTACATCATTTTTGCAGTGATATTAAATATCTTCAAAAGACATTTCACATTTAGAGGAGAAAATGGAGGCCTATTCACATGAAAGGGCAGTTACATTGGAATCTCTCTTTAATATCATTTCAGAAATTAAATAGTTTACCTGTTTTCCAGCTGATGCCTGTGGCAAGACCTGTGGCACATGAGGTTGACTCACTGGCTGTACACACTCAGTGGCCTCACTAGAGGCTGATGTCTGTGGAAGTGAATATTGCCCTATCTGCTGAGGAGGGACTGTCTGCTGTATTCCTTGTGGCTGAGAATAAAATAAAAGGATTCAGTTTTAAGTCACTAATACCACGTTTCTAAGGTGGCATGTTTATTTACATACAGCCTGAGGTATCTTTAAATATGACAATTTTAGTAATCAAGACACAAACACAAATTCATCAATTCCCCTTTCTCATCCGTTTTCCTCTGGTGTTCTTGATTTGTGATGGTACCACCAAGAACAATTAACCAATGTTTCAAAACGTGACCTACCACTCATTCTTCACCTAATACCCCTCTTGGTTCAATAGCAGGACACTTATAAACATCTTTAGACATCATATCCACACAGCACATCTCCCTCACTTTTTTTTCTCTCCCATTTCTTGGCATCAGCTCTTACTTTGACTACTGTATTAGGCTAATCTAGTTTCCTCTTTTAATCTCTTTTCCTTAATCTATTTTATCAACTGTATAATTAATCTGCTTGAATAGAGGTCTACTTATACCTACAAAATAGTGAGGGAGGCACTGAATCTGGAATCAGGAGATAGTTTCAAATTTTAGCTCTACCATTTGTTAGCTGTCATAAGTGTGAAGATGATTTCTTTCTTATGAAACCTAGAATGCTATTGCTCAACTCAAGTGGGTCAAAGGAATCAACACTTGGGAATTAACCATGTGCTAGGGACTGTGTTACAAAACACCTCATGTAATATATGGCACATAACTGGTATCCAAAACAAAAACATGACCATTGTCCCTAAAATAATGTCATACCTAACGAATAAAAATTTGAACTTTATACCTGACTTAAGATCCACTAATACCTGTAACTTAAAACTTATTATTTTAAAATATAAAAGCAACACTTTGTTTATAAAAAACGTTAACCAATATATCAGATTACAAAGTTAAATGAAAGTACTCTTCTCCATTCTCCAGAAGCAACTACAAAAATGGTTTGGTGTGTCACCATTATGGAGTTTTCTCTATGAAAAAACATACAGGTACATTTGTTCGTTTTGTTTTAGTAAAACAAACAAAACAAAAGTGTCCACCTTATAAATCTTTTATGTTGTTGTTGTTGTTATGTGCCGTCGAGTCGGCCCCGATTCATAGCGACCCCTCCTTGGGTTTCCGAGGCAGTATTACTACGGAAGTAGGATTGCCCAACCTTCCTTCCGAGGAGTGGCTGGTGGGTTTGAACCGCCAGCCTTCTGGTTAGCAGTCAAGTGCTTTAGCCACTATGCTACCAGAGCTCCCATAGATCTTTTATAGCATGCCAATTTTATTTATCAATGGCATTGAAGTACTAATGATAAACATTTTAGTTATGATTTTTTTTTACTGCTTGAAGTAAGTCTTTTTATATGTCCTGGTGTATCCATAAAGACTTATGGTGGATCAGTAGTTAGCATTCTGCTGCTAATCAAAATGCTGGTCATTTAAACTCACCAGCTGCTCTGTGGTAGAAAGATGAGGCAGTTTGCATCCATAAAGATTCACAGCCTTGGTAACCTTATGGGGCAGTTCTATCCTGTCCTATAGGATGGTCATGAGTCAGAATCAACTTGATGGTAGTTGATTTGGTTTTGGTTTTTGATATAGTCATACAATTTATTAGTTACTGCTGATATAAAGACAAGCTATTTGCCTCTCCATTTAATGAGTTTCTTAGGTGATATTTTACAAATAATATTTTGCTCTCCTGATATTTATTCTTTACTTCTTTCTCATTATGCCAGTTAAAACAACCAAACAAAAAACTGATGAAATATAATGGCGACAGCAGCCATGTTTGTTTTATTCCTATTCAATGATGTACTTCTATTTCAACTTTTAAAAAAACTTACTTCAGCAATTAAGATATATCCTAAGTAACCAATTATAAGGCAACTCTGAACATAAGACAATTTCTTCATTTTCCCACTGAGAAAGAGAAACTAAAAAACCAAAAAGCCTTTATGGCCAACCTGAGTACAGTTAAACTCTAAGGATGAATGAAATAGCTACACATATCTACAAAATAAGGAGCTCTGGTGGTATAGTGCTTAAGGCACTGGCTGCTAACCTAAAGGTCAGTGGTTTGAACCCATCAACTGCTCCATGAAAGAAAAATGAGGCAGTCTACTTCTGTAAAGATTTATAGCCTTAGAAATTGAAGGGGGGTCACTATGAATCAGAATTGACTCAATGGCAGTGACTTTAGTTTGGCAAAATATTTAACTCATTAATTTACGTACCTAAATAAGACTGTATATTACCTAAATCAGAGGAGCCCTAGTGGTGTAGTAGCTAAGCACTTGGCTGTTCATTAAAGGTTGGTAGCTTGAACCCACCAGCTGCTCTCTAGAAGATGGGGCATTCTGCTTCCATAAATGTTTTACAGCCTTGGAAACCCTATGAGGTTAGCTCGATTCTGTCCCATAGGGTCGCTATGAGTCGGAATCTACTCAACAGCAATGGGTTTTGTCCCTCACCCCACAATTCAAACTCTTCACGTGTAATATATTAGTGTCTTCATTTTCATTGGAGTTACATTATGAGTGTAATAGTTTACTGGAGGCTAACACTTTCCCTTTAGGTTGTGTCTTGAATTAAATTTGCAGTGATCACCACCTTTTTGAATCAGGGTTGTGAACCGGTTCAATCACAGATTATGAAGTGAAATTGGAAGAGACCAGAATTTTAACCATTTGAGTGAACAGAACAGTAACTGGAATGCAAAAAAGTATGGGTTGAAGCCCTGTCATGGGAGACTTGGAAAAGGCATAGTGAGTCCTTTCAAGAGGCTAATGCAAGAGAGCAACTGTGGAGAGCAACACACATTCAAATCAGGGCATTAGCCACAATCTTTGAGCTGGGTTCTGCTGTTTTCCACTCTCTGGGCAAGAGATTTGGTTGCTATGCAATGCATACACTGACCTAAGATGGTGATTAAGTTTCTAGCTGGGCTGTAACCCATAATTTTTCCTGTTCTAGTTATTGCTGCAGTTCACCCAAATTAAAAAATCTGGATCTGTTCTACTGTCATTTCCTTGGCCATGACTGAACCGAGTTGAACCAGTTCAAGTAATGGTTTGACTATTAGGAGAGTTAGGTATTTTTTCCTTGTACTTGTCATGTATTTCATATTCATGTAATCTTTGTTAAGTTAATGAACTTCTCAAAGTTGTTTACAGTGACCTATCAAGCAGTACTCAGATTAGTGAAATCATAACTAAGAATAAGAACTAAACCTACATTTAATTGCTTATTTTTTAACCATTTCAGTCAGATGTTCTCTATAAACATTCCCATCTACACAACTGGCAAACTCTTGAGCCAGATTACTTCCATTCAAATTGTTTCCACCTCCTACAAGCTGTGTAAACGTAGGTAAATTCCTCAGCTTCTTCAGGTCTTAGGTTCTCCATGTGTAAAATATCATAGTAACTACACTTCACAGGGTGGTTACAAGGATTAAGTGAAAATAGGTAATGTGCTTTGACATTGTTTTATAGTGTTAGCTATTATTATTATTTGTTCTGTAGGTATTTACATGTGTTTACCAGATTATTTGGCATACTTGAAAGTCTTGTCTGATCTATCTTGGTAACCCCTCAGTGCCTAGCACACAGCCCTTCAGAGTATGACCTCAATTAGTAAAAAAACTGTTTAATTAGAGAAGGGGAAAACAATTTAAAAAATGAGTTTTATGGACATATATTTTCACTCTTATGATTCCTAACTCAAAGGCATGTATTCCAACTATATTTTAGAGCATTAAGGGAAAAATGGCATCCCTGGGTAGCCAGGAGTTTGATGATTTGCTTACACACAATCATTGTAACTAATAACCAACACTTCAGCCAAGCAGGTATGGTTTAGCATAGCTGCTTGACATACTTTGCATAAATTGGGCTCATGGATTCTGTTCATACTTCCTTTATTGACTGTTGGATACTGGTACTATGATGAAAAAATGTTCATATGCCTCAGGTAGAAAAGTAAGAAACATCTGAAGACTGTACAGGTGCTCTAATGGAAGAAATTATTAAGTTAGTACAACAGCTCACTAACTAACTTGCTTGTGGCACTAATCTACCTAGTTTCCTGGTAGGAGGGAGCTACTTTTGGTACTTCCAAAGATTCAGCATACCACTAGAAGGGAATCTTGATAAAAACATAAAAAAAGCAATCCCTCACTTAATATGTCTCAGAGGTATTTGATACAAAGTACATTTTAGCTAAAGTACATTTCTTTCCTCACAATAATAAAACCACAGATATAGTTCCCTATGGTGGGGTTGGGAACAAAAGGGTTAAAAATAAAATTCACACCTAAAAAAATACTCTACCCATATAGTATAGAAGCATTTCCATTTTTTTTTTTTTTTTTTTAATGTGAAATCCCAGTAATAAAAACAAAGGCAGCTTCTCAGGTACCTTTGCATAATTATATATCTCCGTGAGTACTGTAAGGCACTCTGGTAGTGTAGTGATTAAAACATTTGGCTGCTAACCAAAAAAAAAAGGTAGATGGTTTGACTCTACCAACTTCTCTGCAGAAGATGAGGCAGATTTACAGCCTTGGAAACTCAATGGGAGTTGCTGTGAGTCAGAAACGACTAGACGGCAGTGAGTTTGGTTTTGGTAGAGTACTGTGAGGCACTCTGACAGCACAGTGGTTAAAGCATTCAGCTGCTCACCAAGAGCTCAGCTGTTCAAATCCACCAGGTGCAACATAGGAGGTAGATGAGACAGTCTGCTTCTTTAAAGCTTTACAGCCTTGGAAACCCTATGGGGCAGTTCTACTCTGTCCCATAGAGTAGCTAAGAGTCAGAATCAACGTGATGGCAGTGGGTTTGGTTTGGATTTGGGTAGAGCACTGTATTTAATATAGAAAAAAGAACAAAAAAACCCTTACTATCTTAAAGATCTTGAGTTTTAGGTTCTAACCTTTAGGTCTATTATCTTGCTGATATGTGACCTTGGAAAAGTTAAATATTCTGGATTACATCCACTTTTATAAATTGAGGGCTTAATTTTGATATTCTATTAAGCATAAATATTATGCTGCATATTAAGTAAGCCAAAACAGAAAAGTATCTAATATGAAAACATCACTCAATCAGAAACTGTTTGCACTGTAGAGAGAGTACTTTATTTTTTCTCAGAAGAGTTAACTGCCTTAATTCTTTTAACCAGACATATATGAAATTGCCCTTCCTCCATCCTTGCATACTTTTGTCACCACTGAACACAACAGCCTGTTTCAATATCTTGCTCTCATCTGGTAATACATACATACACACCCACCCACATTCCACAATATAAAAGACACATAACAAATTTGTCTGGCAAAGGGAAAACCCAACATAGTCTACTGTGAATGGCCTACGTTCAAAGAAGAGCAAATCAGGAGAATGGTACCCATGATATGTTTCACTCTTCCACCAGCTTGTGGAACTTCCAATTTATATTCATTCTTATTAGGGGCTGATAACAGAATAACATCAAACCTGTTGAGGTTGTAAAAAATGTGACTACTTAAATTTAATTGCAATCATATAGATTCAGACCTGTCTGAAAGAGCAAGAGCAAGACAAAGCATACATTAATTCCCAGCCCTTAAATTCCACCAAAGGGTGTTGGTCACTGAATGAATATATAAATAACCAAACTAGTGAAATTCCTTCTGTACAGAATGCTTTAAAGTGATTTTTATCTTGCACAGGAACACCAATCTTAAGCTGATATCAAATGCCTACATGACCATGTGCTGGACTAAAAGCAAGCCATTTATAATAAAGGGAATTAAAAGTTTCATTTCAAAAACTAACAGAAACAAGACTTCCAGTAAGATGGAGGAATAAGCAGACAAGTGACACAGACCCTCTTCAACAAAGAAAAGAAAAACCAGTTGACAGAGATACAGAAGATAATCCTGGAGCCCTAAACTTTGAAAGAACCATACAGAAGTGGATTAGGCACCAACTAGTGGAAAAACCTGAATGAAAACAGTGAGTACAGAGACGATCAGAGGTGCAGACTGTCAGCTACTCTGATGAGACCAACATCCTGAATATTTTCAAGTGGTGCTAGGACCTGAGAATTGACCTAAAGATCAGCCCTGGTCACCAAGGGCTGCAGGGACAATTGCACTGGTGGGCTATGACTAGAAGGGGAAACAGCAAGGAGGGAGACAACCTGAGCTGTTGACTTTCCACTGTCTGGAGGGCGCAGCCATTTAGAATCTTTACAAGTGGCAACCATTTTGGATTTTAAAGTGACAGCTTTCTCATTTGGATTCCAGGGACCTAAGAATAGTCTGTTTGTCAAGGTTGGCAGGGACATATGAGAGGCTGACAACAGGAAAGGAGATAGGTGGTGAGTGTCTAAGTGCTGTCAACTAGTGAATAGAGGAGCACAGCACAGTAACCTGCTTGTATAGATAACATACAAAGAAAACAAAAATCGTGGGCAAATCACTCCAACATATAATCACCAATTAAATATAAACACAAAAACGTCACAATGTCTTGAAGACAAGACAGCATCATAGTCCACAAAGAAGCAAGATAAAGCAGGAGAAACAAGGGACCAGAATACAGACCCAAAACACATCCTTGAGGAAGATGTAGCATCAGAACTCCCTGATAAGGAATTTAAAAGAATTATATTTAGGTATCTTCAATGAATTGAGAGACAGATGAAGGAAAACACTGACAAAACTGAGGAAAACACAGAGAAAACCTTACAACAATTTTGAAAGACAATACAAGAACAAAATGACAAAATAAATGAAAAATCAGAAATGATACAAAATCTACATACAGAAATCCAGAAGATTAATATTTAATTTTCAGAAATAGATAAGACATTGAATGGGGAAAGGAGCAGAATTCAATCAATGGAAGACAGAATTAGTGAGACTGAAGGCAAATACCTGAACATTTCTTTGGAAAGGGATCAATCAGAAAAAAGATCAAAACATTTTGAAGAAAGCCTAAGGTTTACGTGGGATACCATCAAAAGGAATAAACTATGTGTAATCGGAATTCCAGAATAGTAAGAGAAAAAGAAAACCACTGAGAAAACTGTCAAAGATTTGTTGGAAGAGAATTTCCCTGGTATGATGAAAGATGAGAATATATCCATTCAGGAAGTCCAATGGACTCCAAACAGGATAGACCCCAAAAGAAAATCACCAAGACATATCATCATCAAATTCACCAAAACCAAAGATAAAGAAAGAATCATGAGAGCAGCACGGGAAAAACAAAGTTACCTACAAGGGGCAATCAATAACACTAAGCTCAGATTTCTCAGCAGAAACCATGCAGGTGAGAAGACAATGAGATGGTACATATAAAACCCCGAAAGAGAAAAATTTCCAACCAAAAATTATGTACCCAGGAAAACTGTCCCTCAAACATGATGGTGAAATCAGGAGATTTCTAGATAAGCAGAAATTAAGGGTATTTGTTAAAATCAGACCAACCTTACAAGAGATGCTAAAGAGAACCCTTTGGATGGAGAAGCAACAACAGCAAACAATAACTGACCATTAACACACATGATGATATAATCCAGAAACCAACCCAGCTATGGAAGTATCCAAAGTAAATAAGGTTACAAGATTGTAAATAGGGAACCAGAGACATCAATTGACAAATGAGGACAATTACAAACCAAAAAGAGGGAAAAAACTATGTTGTTATAGAACTTCTAGATGGTAGGGAAGTCAAGACAATTACAAGATAGAACAGACTGTTCTAAACTTGGGAAGAAAACCATAAATCCCAAGGTAACCTCAAAGAAAAATGATAAACCTTCACATCAAAAAAAAAAAAAAAGATGACTAGAACAAATATTTAGCACAAATACTGAAACAATAGCAATGAAAGAAGTGATTAACACGTTTCATAAACAAAATGGTGCCAGCATAGAAAATTGTATGGAACAAAGAAATCGACATCGCGAAAAAGCACACGACAAAAATGACAGCAACAAATTCGTATTTGCCAATAATTACATATCTGGCAAGGGACTTATCTCTAAGATTTACAGAAAACTCCAACACCTCAACTCTAAAGGAATTAACAATCCAATTGAAAAATGGGCAGAAGACATGAATAGACACTTCACCAAGGAGGATATTCAGGTGGCCAGCTAATACATGAAGATACGTTTACAATCATTGGCCATCAGAGAGACACAGATCAAAATAACAATGAGATACTATCCCACCCCAGCACTGATGGCAAGGTTCCATGAGACAGAAAATAGCAAATGCTGGCAGGGATGTAGAGAGATTGGGACTCTCACACATTGCTGGTGGGACTGTGAAGTGATACAACCACTGTGGAAAGCAGTATGGCAATTCCTCAGAAAGCTGGAAATGGAAATACCATTTGACCCAGAAATCCCATTACTAGGTATATATCCTAGAGAGGTTAGAGCCAGGACAGGAACAGATAGATGTACACTCATGTTCATCGGAGCACTATTTACAATAGTAAAAACAATGGAAACAACCTACGTGCCCATCAGTGGAAGAACAGACGATCAAACTACGGTACATACACACAATGGAATGCTATGCAGCATTAAAGAATAACCTAGTACTGCAAAACACTGCATAATATGGATGAACCTGGAGGACATTATGCTGAGTGAAATAAGTCAATCACAGAAGGAAAAATATAGTATTAGTTCGTTGTTGTGGAGGGTCAAGGAAAGGTTTATATATGGAGGAAAAGTTTCTTTTTCTTTCTTGGTTGCCAGGGGTGCAAG